GGGAGGGGAGAGAGAGAAGAGGAGAGGAGAGAGAAGAGAGAGAGAGAGAGTTGAAATACTTCCCCAAGTTACCTATTTCATTGTTTAAAAAAAATTTTTATATATGCTAATTTGTTTCATTTATCTTAGATTGGTTTTTTTTGGCAGAACCGGGGATTGAGCTCAGGCCCTTGTGCTTGCCAGGGAAGTGCTTATTCTACGGAGCCATCTCCCAGGCCCCAAAGGTAGCACTACCGCTATTTTCTTATTATTTTGTTAAAAAAATTTTTTTTCATAGAATAAGTAAAAAATAAAACACAGGACTGAGGATATAGCTCAGTAGTAGAGTGCCTGACTAGAATGCAGGACACCCTGGGATTAATCCCCAGTACCACGGAGGTGGGGAGGGGCTATACTAAAGGTTGAATAGTTATGAGTTCATGTGTGGAATGGAAGACATTAATGCCAAAGAATAAGGAGACAAGTTGCTATGGCTTGTACCTAGATGTTCCCCGAAAGCCTCAGTGCTTGTAGGTGGGGCTTTTGGGAGGTGGCTAGACCTTAGGTGTGACACTGAGATGAAGGGAGTACAATCACTAAACTGGCTAGCGTAATTCTGGGTATAGATAATGAAGGCTCAGTCTGGAGGGCATATAAAGGGAAAGATGACGGCAGGCATTTCTGTTAGCTGCTTGCTGCCTGCTATGCCATGGACTCTTGCTCTTCTCTGATGACATTCCGCCTGTCATGGCATCAGCGACCACTGACTGAAACCTCTGCAAACTGTACGCTGAATAAACTTTCCTCTTTTAACTTGAAGGGGCTAGGTATTTGTGTCACAATGAGAAGGTAACTCAGATACAACGCAATCTATAACTTGTAAGTAGAAGCATTTTTAGAAGACCAAGTACAAGGGAGGAAAAGAAAAAGGATATAATGACAACAGTATATATACATTAGTACTATTTATATAATATATCAAATAAAGATCTCTATTTCTATATGTGACATACAGGGCTGGAGAGATGGCTCAGTAGAATAAGCCTGAGTTCAATCCCTGGTTCTGCCAAAAAA